GATTTTGAATCTAATTGATTTTTTATTAAAGGTTTGAGATATCAAAACTTTTCAAATATAAATACGCCTCCTTGGTTTTGATTGTTGTAATATGTAATCACAAGGGACGAGTGGCTTAACAATGTGTGAATTGGATCCATTATTGAAAACCTCACAAAGAATTTCATTTTTTTTTAAATTTCAAACTCATGAACAAAATTTCCTTTAGATATAGTCCATTGATGTTGGTACTGGTTTTCCAAAAACGGATCAACTCGATGTTGTATGTTGATATATGACTCTCATGATATTTGTTCGTTATAATATGTACTTTCAATCAGTAAAAAGAAACCTTTTATGTAGTATGTATCATCAATCAATGTTCATTTCAACCACCTAAACGTTGACCACTAATTGCATTGTGATTGAGATACTGGTTCATTGATGTTCATATCAACTGCTATAAGTTGATTATATTTTCATTTTCATTTCGGACTGAAACATTTGACTACATCCCTTTTATATTTCATGACACATCTAAATTAGCAAACAACGCTGCTGATAAACATTCATAGCAGCAAAAATGCAACAATCTTATTCGTTGCTTTTATTTATAATAAATTATGGATTATTTTTTATCAGTCTGGAATACTTCGACACAATTGTTCACTATTATTTGTTTTATGGTTTCTGTTAACAGTAATGCATTGAAAGCTTACAAAAATGAAGTTCGATGCTAAACATGGAGGTTGATAATTATGACGGTTTTTAACTGGCTACGAAACGATATGCCAATATTCGGTTGTAGAAGTACGACGTGCACAATTATAATAACACAATAGTTCAATTAACTTTGAAATACCTTCTCACACAAGAAACACCCCCAAAAAACAACAACAACAAAATCCCTAACCGATCAAATAAATGTAAACTGTGTTTTGTCATAATGACAAATGACAAATGTTAATTGAATGCTATGCCTTGGACATGCACAACCTAGTGTTACCACTGCAACTTTAAAGTGATATCTCAGCATGGGTTCTGGAATTTGGCGTTTCCATTTTCAGTTGACTATATTCCTGTTAACACCCAAACCACTGATCATACATACAATCCCACTTACGGCAACTGCATGGATCACGTTACACGTATTATAGCTGAACGACAATACCAAACAAGGGCAGATATTCAAAACCTGCTCTTGTGAACGTGAAATAAATCGACGTTTCATACAATCCTAATTACATGCCCATGTATCATATTACACTTTTGACTGCTGAGCTACAGTACCTTATTATCAATGAATGGCGTTTCTGAATTCAACTGATGTTGTTATTTCGTCCCATAACAATAATAATTCTCAGGTTGTAACACATGAAACAGAGAAAAATATACTTGTGGTATTTTTTATGAAATGACAAATGTTCTACGTACACGTCTCTGGCCATGCAAGCACTAAATAACAAAAGTATACATATTGCCAAGGGATAATCTTTATTTCTCCCATGTGCTTTCTTAACTGTGATGGATCATTTATTTTTTCATATGCGTAATGTGTTTAATGATTTGGAAAATACATCAATATTTCATATTTGATTAAATTTGTTTGTTGTGAGCAAGGAGTTAAATATAAACGAAGCAAGTGTTTTATTAATCCCTTGAACATGAAAGCGTGGCGCCGGAGAACCCAACGGTTCAAGTCTTAACGCGTTCTGCGTTTCTGTAAAAAGTAATGTATTCAGCTATAACGCCCCATAAACATAAATGTTATATTTATTACCACCATATGTTGTTTGAACTGGGTGATAAATCTTTCAAATAGGCAATTTAACTAACATTTTACATATTTCATACAAGTTGAGGAGTTGGTAAACAATATCGCCCATCCAAATTGTCATTGCCTGAGAAATTGCTCCTGTTCTCGTAATATTTGCGGGTGAATTCATCACAAGCCATAGACAGGAATGAAAATGTATGAATTTGTTTTGATCAATTAATCTCTTCCTGACTTCCCATTTATTATGCTACAAAGAATATTGAAACATGAAAATGAACTCTTGTTCCCATCAAAGTAAATGCCATACTTTCAAATATTAGAAGAGCCGACATATTTAAGCTGTGTCCCACATAGTAATATGTCTCCCATGGTTTCATTGCCCAGAGACGAACTGTTAGGATGGACGTCTAATAAAATAAGGGCCAGTTAATGGCCACAGTGACTATCGACTGACTTCTTTCAATATGTAGACAGCCATAGCGATAGAAGAGCTGGAGTTAATATTCGAAAGTAGCCAACTGCATTACCACTTGAGACGGGATTATCTCTTAAACATCGACTCTATTCAATTAACATCGTTTTCATTTGTGTATCGAGTAGTGTTGCAAATTTAAAATGTTTCAAACGTACTTTGGTCAGTTAGTTCATTCGTAACATTTATGTTTTGTTATTTTATTGATGTAAACATTTACGTTGGTTAACTGAAGGTTGAGCAAATACACGTGTGATGCTGACGTACAAATGTTTGTTTAAATGCTGCCATCCTTAGCCAGGGGTGTTGCTAGGTGCGGTGTTAGGCAAAATACACTTACTGTTTATGAAAAGTGTGTGATTGGCTGTTGTGGTGGACTCTCTGATTTCAGTGTTTCATTCATACAGTTCTCATTACCTTTTGCCTCTTACGTGCAATCGCTTCTGTATCGGTGCATAATAGAGACTGACCTGGCTTTGACGTTTCGAATCGCTCATAGTACGACGAGGTAGCTTAGCGGATAAAGCTTTTGCTCGTCACGCCGAAGACTCGGGTTCGATTCCCTATATGGGTACAATGAGTGAAGCCCGTTTCTGGTGTCCCCCGCTGTGCTATTACTTGAATATTGCAAAAACAGTGTATAACAGTATTCACACACTTGTATACACCCAACATAAAATTCAATGCCTATACCATACATACACTGTCTGTTAAATACAAATCACAAATAACGACATCTAGATCAAAAATGTTTGTGGCGCCAGAAAGTGGGTCATTCTTTCGCAGGATACACTAAACGCCGTTTTACAAAAAAAACTAACCCCTACAAGAACACCTATTCTATCATGTTGTATGATGTTACTACAGCACGTGTGTGACGATATACGTTGAATAAAACGTCACAGCACTAGGATGTCCCTTCTGGCACCATCTGAGCCTACGGTTGATGATGCCTAACAGAAGAAGCTCACACAATCACATTCCAAGAAGCAGCTATCACGTTCGCACCATAATACAATTCAACACAGAATTAGTTCGTACCATTCTTCAACATTTACATTCAAAATACATTACAGATTCTTGAAAACCCAACCATTCTTTAGCAAAGACGTTCCAAATCCATTACAGATCCTTGAAAACCCAACCAAATACGCTCACGCCGTACTTCTACATGACACTGTTATCATAATTGTCACACAAGAAACCCCAACGCCTTTACTGCCGATCTAAAATATATATATCTTAAATAACATTTTATACAAACGGCTGAATACCGCCACTGAATACAAAACACAAACAGTTTCCGTTGTGTATTTTATTGTAAATTCATCACAACCATTGAGCATACTTGTCTACCGTTACGTGCCATCGCAGACCACACGGGTACATATGCACGGAAGGAAACAATACACTCAGCTACAACCCCACAGCGTTCACTGTAGGTACACGGTGATGATATATGTAAGTTCTAGGTACGTTGTATGTACAACACTAGGGTGAGATGTCGTGACAGGATTTACAGTGTAAGCAAATAACGAGAAAAACAAATAGTAACATAGTCTGTGGGACCACACAGGCAGAATGCATCAGGCATACATACAGAAAGACAGTCTCCCTTTCTTGAAGAAAAACGTTAATTGTTGCCGCATTTTGCTTCAATTTTGTAAACCTCAGTAATGTCTATACTCGTGTTGGACAGTAGGTAATGGGCAGCAAATGTACCTACAATCAAAGTAACACTGCCAAAGCTGTGATGAATGTTACCTGTAACACCGACAAAACTGTGATGAATGTTACCTGTAACACAGCCAAAGCTGTGATGAATGTTACCTGTAACACCGACAAAGCTGTGATGAATGTTACCTGTAACACCGACAAAGCTGTGATGAATGTTACCTGTAACACCGACAAAGCTGTGATGAATGTTACCTGTAACACCGACAAAACTGTGATGAATGTTACCTGTAACACCGACAAAACTGTGATGAATGTTACCTGTAACACCGACAAAACTGTGATGAATGTTACCTGTAACACAGCCAAAGCTGTGATGAATGTTACCTGTAACACCGACAAAACTGTGATGAATGTTACCTGTAACACCGACAAAACTGTGATGAATGTTACCTGTAACACCGACAAAACTGTGATGAATGTTACCTGTAACACCGACAAAGCTGTGATGAATGTTACCTGTAACACCGACAAAACTGTGATGAATGTTACCTGTAACACCGACAAAGCTGTGATGAATGTTACCTGTAACACCGACAAAGCTGTGATGAATGTTACCTGTAACACCGACAAAGCTGTGATGAATGTTACCTGTAACACCGACAAAACTGTGATGAATGTTACCTGTAACACCGACAAAACTGTGATGAATGTTACCTGTAACACCGACAAAACTGTGATGAATGTTACCTGTAACACAGCCAAAGCTGTGATGAATGTTACCTGTAACACAGCCAAAGCTGTGATGAATGTTACCTGTAACACCGACAAAGCTGTGATGAATGTTACCTGTAACACAGCCAAAGCTGTGATGAATGTTACCTGTAACACCGACAAAGCTGTGATGAATGTTACCTGTAACACCGACAAAACTGTGATGAATGTTACCTGTAACACAGCCAAAGCTGTGATGAATGTCACCTGTAACACCGACAAAACTGTGATGAATGTTACCTGTAACACCGACAAAACTGTGATGAATGTTACCTGTAACACAGCCAAAGCTGTGACGAATGTTACCTGTAGCACCGACAAAGCTGTGATGAATATTCCAAGTGACACCGACAAAGCTACCAAGCATACTCGCTGTATAGGTACTCACAGCTCGTGAATATACTTAAGGTGACATAACCACAGTTAACAAGCATATTCATGGTAACATTGTCTACACGTTCAAGGATGCTTCTGGCAAGAGCGCTGGGTAATACCGCCAAGCTCTCATGAGTGTTCCCTGTACGCCGTCAAACTCTCATGTATGTAACCGGTAACACCACACATGCTCTCATGTATGTAACCGGTAACACCACCAAAGCTCTCATGTATGTAACCGGTAACACCACCAAAACACTCATGAATGTAACCGGTAACACAGCCAAAGCTCTCGTGTATGTAACCGGTTACACCGTCAAAGCTCTCATGTATGTAAGCGGTAACGCCACCAAAACTCTCACGAGTTTTCCCTGTAAACCGTCAAAGAACTCTAGCATGCTCACGGATATTGTGAAATAAGAAATCACCACAGTTTGTTTTGAAAATGAACTTGGAAAACACTGTTGTCATTGGTTACATTGTGGTCTGTTTGACTGACATACCTGTACTTTGACCCACATGACTGCCACGATTCATTGTTAACTCATTCGAGTTATGGCCTGTTGTCGTCGCGTATTGTCAGTGATCCATAATGTCCACCACTATTTGAATTCAACACTCAATGGAATCTGTTTCAAGGGATAAACGGTACTGATTGTTATATCTACAACTCCTGGAAACGTAAACGAATGATGGTACAGAGCAAAATGTCCTTTGATGTTGCATGACTGAAGTAATCGAAAATATGTATTCAATCAGATAAATATTGCAGCAGGTATTTTGCTTTTCTTTCAAAATTAACAAATTCATACTACATTGAAACAACTATTGCAAATTCACACTAACAACCTTCACACATCAAGCAGGAACGTATAGCAGCGGGCAATACTGTGTAACAAAACGGCTTAATGAAGCACTCTCACTAAACAAACAAAACCGTTTGATTTTTGGTATGATCGTAGCAAATAATATACAATGGTATAAACAACAGTATATATAAACTGTATCAAACAAGTAACATTGCTATATCAACATATTCTATGACAAAACATATACAGATTTTCAACACAAACATCACACATATATTTCAGCATAACAAGTACATGTATATATATATATACAAACGCGCAAATATGCTTGGAATTACATATCAACATCTCACACCCATATTAAGTAAGACTTATGATTAGAATAGTTCGTACACACATAAAGGAAGCTGTGCAATAGGCGTAAATTCAAACGTGGTATCTGTGGAAACGCTCAAATTTGTAACGTCAAATATACGTACATCTTCATTCATAACCAATACACATTATTGCAAGGTACATTGGTTGGCTTGCACTCTACCGTTACCTTCCAGTACAGTTGGGCATGGATAAAGTATTTTAAGAATACTAAAAACTCCCAAATCTCAAATTGTTGACCTGTATTTTTTGACGTTCCTGTCCATATGCACGTCTTGTTGCGTTAAAATATCATTCTCAGTGATGATGCAAAACTGACAGCATTATATTTGACACTAAGATATGTTTGTAAATTGCTGAACGCCGAATTCAGCAGCATTGGACTCCGAAAAAACTAATTGCTAAAAGCCTGTTTTGTACAAAACAAACACAATTATGAAGTCTCTCAAACAATTCTTATATTGCATGTTACATATTTCCAGGAACAATGTGGTCATCTTGATGGTCAAACTGGCCAGACTGAAAGGAAATGTCAAACAGGTTTAAAAGTTAAGTACCGCTTCTATATTGTCTTATATTCTGAACCTCCATGTATCCTTCAGAGGAAGTAGCTATAGAAGTCATGCACAGTTTGGACAAGAACACTGTTATTCCTCCCGGTGTTCGCAAGAACTGGATCATAACCTTTGACATAAAGCTTTGACTTGAATACCTATTGAAGCAGTTACAAAACATATCACATCGATAAATGATTCCAGTGTCAGTATTTCAAAATGGCATCTCACGTGTTTAATAAACTTCATTCATGAACTGGTGAAGGGTTACTATTTTTAAAACATTACCATTTTTAAGGAATTATATTGTATGCGGTGATTAACTATTTTTGTACACATAATCTGATGAAGACCGAAATAGATTTTTTAACAAAACGTGAACTTTTAGTTTTATCATCTCACTGCATAATACTATTAGAAATATACAATATCTGTAACAGCAATATTTGATGGCTTGTATGTGGCAGTACTGTTGGCAGGGATATAATGAATGAATACATAATACACTTTTGCCATTTGTCACAATTACGCATCTAAGGACTGGATGCTTGAAGCCAGGATGTGCTCTTGCATGCTGCTCTGTTACGTCTTCTGATGGAATGTCTGTTCTAATAAACAACGACGGTTCCCGGATGTGTATTCAACAATCATCACAGGAATTCATACTTGGGAACATCAAGATTATGCTGATTGATGACAATCCCCTTTGAACTTAATTTAGTCGAAGACCATATCAGTTTCGTGGGAAAGGTAATTCATCTTTGCAAATCCTGTGGTCACATTGTCACACGTTTCCATAAATCGGACATTTCGTTGAAATCACATATTTCTTAAGTGTTGTGGGATCTCGAATATATACTCCACTTGATTGAACACTTTATTGCATCATGGATGCCTTGGTGTTATGATACTGTTTGTATTGGATGTAGCCATGTTTAAACGGAAGTGATCATTTCACAATCTGATCCCTCGTCACTGCTAGCCTCGATGTGACTTTTCTGCTTCCGTTGAATCAACTCTCGTCTCCTCACGGGCTTCGGGTCAAGGGGCACCGCCTCCACACACGCTTCCTGGAAGTTACAGAAACAGAACATACAGTGATTCCAGTCTGGAATAAACAATAACAACGCTGATTCCAGTTACCCGGTCGATACTATCATTTGTGTTGACCTGACCAAATCACGACATTTTGGAAAAAAATTAGGAAAAATACAAACCGGTACTTCAGACTGAATTTTACCGGTATCGATCATTCGCCGTAACAAATTCCATTTGGCGTAAGGGAGACTATCGGCAAAAATTATTGGAATTAATCACTGAAAAAAGCATTTAACTACAATCATTGTACAAATAAACATCTTATTACAGCTTTTATAGCAGTAACCATAGCGACCAGTATAGACACAATGTTGCTTCATGAATAACATTTTACTAAGGATACAATAACCGTCTGAGAGGTTCCTATTTAATTTTGACATTCATACTGTTCCTTTAAGGACCAAACTCTTTCACGATAATAATAAATCTCCTAAACGCCGAGTCGACAGTATGAGTCCGACTATACCACCAGCATAGTTTACGCATCTCTATGAAATAGCACACACTAAGGTCCCAAGTTGTCAGGTTTTCATAAATACCATGATTTTCACTTTAAAATGTTTGGCTGCCTTAATGACGAATATTATAGCTTTGAAATAGACGCATGTAAACACACAAACACTACAACAGTTCCCCTAGACGCTCCTTTAAGACTAACACTTCTAATTACTATTCAAGATATCTACACTATTCTCACAATCCACGCACTGGTCACTCGTACTGAATTTACGTTTTGTTTAGTCACCTTATCCAGACCCATCCATATTTATTTTCATGTTTTATTAAAATTAATTAAATCAAAACTTATATTCCTGAACACGACCGTCTGCCATAAATCCTTGTACTTTCTTCCAATCAAGTGAACTCTATTCTGCCCAAATGATCTCAATTTGTCCAGTTGTTCCTGTCAACTGAAGCTAACCCAACCTGAACACAGAGGTCCGTTCTTACAGTAAATCACTGGCAAAGCAGGAAGATTTATCACCCAGACTTCGCACAGGCTTCCCTCGCAGATGAAACTTGTCAGAAGGAGATAAAGATTAAACGACCGATCATACAAAGCCAGTCCCGACGAGGGAAAATCTAGAGGCAGAGCCCTGGTATTTGTACAAGGTAAACTCTAAGGCCCCCTAAAAGGGGTCGTGTCTGGGAACCAATTTATCATCCTAACCAGGCATATGCGTATTCAATATTGTCGGGATAGTCATACAATCCCCTGCATCGGGGAATTAGAAATCACACCCTACTCTCGGCAAAGGGATCGTTTGAAGAGGAATGAAGATTATTTCTTGGAAGTGTTTGTCATAGTGTCAACGGATGTCTGCCGTTGGAGAACCATCAAGAAGGACATCCGACAGAACGAGATGGATTCATCATCTCAGGCGCCCAGTCGATTTTCCAGCAGATACTTCGTTTACTTTAGAGCATATTTCGCGGAGCTAGAGCCTGATGAATGACACTTTACTACCACAAAGCCGTTGATACAGATTTATTTGACATAGCCAACGGTGTAGAACTGACATAAACTTCGCCAACTACTTTATTTGTCCGATTCCTTCCCTAATTTAATGCAATCGATGAGCCTGGCGTGCCAAAGATTTTGACCCCTGTCGGAAAAACGTTCCCTTCGCCCAATTGCATTAATACAAATTTCCTCCGCGATATTAGAAGCTAAATAATTAAACTGACTCTATCAGACATTATATTCATTGGCAATATGGAATAATAAATAGCCACAAGTTGCGATGTCGAATGATAAGTCAGAACATGAGAAACGGCTTATTCCTTATCACCATGTTATTGCTATGAAGTTTGTAATTGCTTTCATAATTCAAGGATCTGCTTGGCTCGTGTTGGCCTCTTGATGATGTACAGTTTCTTGCCTTTATTTAGACAGTATTAACAAGGTTGGAGCTCTAAGTAATTTACGTTAGCTTGGGAAGGAAGCAAGATCCATCATTTCTTCACATCGTTGCCTTTCACTTGGCTGAATTGGGTGACGAGCTATATCATGTCAATTTCAACAGTGTCATAAAAACGATATTGCTCGTTCCTTCCGATTGGGCAAGATGTATTTTGTGGAAATACATTACACTTTTGTTCAAATGCACGGCAGTTATGGTGAAATGCATTACGATTTGGACGAAATACATTACCAAACATTTCCATTTTTACATTCACGTGAAATGGAAAACGTCAATCGGGAGTGGTATAAGAGTGAAATATCTCCGACATTTGTTACTGTGTTTACAGTATGGGGTTTCTCTGGTTCATTTACAGGGATATGACACATCCAATCAAGACAGTAAATAATTCGGAAACTTATATGAGGCCTACACGTCTATTACTTGTAAAACTGTCCAGGATTATATTTGTTCCACATTGATTTGTCTTGTAGACTATTCTATGAACCCTAAACGCCCCGATGGCTCCGCTCAATCCCATGTCACAGAGTCGTGGGTAAGCCTTTATAAAACGCCTCAGGATCACATTTGTATATTTTCAATTAATTTTTTCCATCTATATACAGCTTGACTGGTACACCTAGGATCAAAGTGACAGCCGAAACTCTAAATTCACTAGGATATTTTAAGAACGTTAAACTGGTCCTGTTTTATCATGTTATTTTTTACTTTCTACATATCACATATGAAACCTTCAAGTTGTTTTTCTCTGTAAACAAGCAGAGCACTTAATGAGATCCCAATTATTTAAAACTATCTTTCATATAGATAAACCAGAACCTTTTAAAACCGGACAATTGGATTACATAATTCATATTGCCCATAAAACCTTGTATATCTGGACGTGTTATAGAGACTTGTCCGATGTAACCACCTTAATCCGGGCAGTTCCATTTACGCGAGATTATTGATAACACACAATTCTAATCTGGATGTATCACAGACTTGTCCGACGTAACCTCGTCAATCTGGACAGTAATGTTCACATTTCTCTTTATAAGCCTTGCTACTCTGGAGGAACTGTACAGTCTTGTCAGATGGAACCTCGTTAAACCTGATACCCAGACTTTGGCAGATTTTTCTCAGAAAAACTTTGCTTTTCAGAAAAGTTAGTTTTCTTGCGTATGCGATTATGTAGATTAGTTCTGTTTAATCAAAACACATTAATGAATGATTTATTGAAAAATGTGGATAATGTGTCCTTCTGCTCAAATTTAACTCAACTTAAATGCTAAATGTCAAAATATGTTATATTGTTTTTGGACCGTATTGCTTTGACATTACTAATATTTATTTCCTAACAAATTAGGTGATGAATCTGCGCAACATCACCAATAAATCAGTGCAATACAAAAATATAAGACTTTTTTCTAACGTGTAACATTTGGAACAGCACATATATTGATATTTTGTAACTAGACCAAACTGTATGTAACGTTTATCCCAGGCATGTCTCAGCCATCCAATATAGCCAGTACAGCCACCCCGACATCTACACATTCAGGAATAGACTGAGTCAATAAATCAATACCGGTAACATACGCGCAATCTCGAGTATCAGGTTTTTCAAAAGAAATATCATACTCTATACGTCAGTATTAAAAGGACGGCTGCTACAGTGTGAGGACAACCAAAAAACGCCCTCAGTGAGTGTTGGCATACTGACCTTGTCCAGTACGGAGCATGAAGCCAGGGAGTCCAGAGAGTGGTCATCGTTGTACTCGAAGCCCTGGGTCGTCAGAGCCTTCTTCTTCTGTCGATTTTTTAACACAGCACGCACCTGCAGAAGAACAGTTAATGGTATTAGTGAGGGGAGAAAAGTTGGTTTTGCTTAAAATGCATCGAAGTTTTCAGAATATCTGGTGTGTCTATAGGACATTTTGTTAAAGATACTTCAAGTGGTATTGTTGAATGAGTCATATGTTTGTGGAGTCACAGACATCAACATAATGTTAATTTTATCAGATGACCGATATCAAATAAATAGGTTAGCGATTATTACTTAACGTCAGATCAGCACTTTCGCAGCTAATCGTGGCGAACATTGTACATTGTCGTGTATGTTTCTTTTAGCTGAAGGGAGAACGAGAATGCTACCAGAGGTTACCGATGTCTTTTGGGTAAAGTGAAAACAATTATGTATATTCTTATTTCCGATATTTATTGTGTATTAGATCCCCTCCGTTACTGATGAACAAAACAGAACAGAATGCCAGCAAGTCAGAAAATGTAATAATTCTCCTGATGCGTGTGTGCGTGCGTGCGTCCGCACGCGTGTAAATCCAAACCATATACCCCAAACTGACTAATCTTTCTTGCGCCCCCTTAGCGCCAGGCAAGGCAGCAATTAATATAATATGATAACGTTTTAGTGAGTGAGTGAGTATGGTTTTACGCCGTTTTAGCAATATTCCAGCAATATCACAGCGGGGGACACCAGAAATGGGCTTCACACGTTGACGTTTTTATTTATGACTTAGTAAGGACTCGAACCATCGACCATTTCGCTCTCCGCTCGCTATCCACTACACCACAACCGTCGGTAACATGTGTAAACAAACGGAAGGGAGACAAAACGAATTCTTTGCTCAACGGTGTCTATTGCAAGAGATTGTGTTCTAATCAATAACACAATAGCTTATCAACAAAGCTTGAACACAAACTAAATGCAGTCGTGGGGACAGAGAATAAACCCATTTATAAATTTATTAAGAAATACTAATCATTGTTGACAACTATTTCTTTCTCTACCCATAATCAAAGGTGCTTTTAAGCTCATGAAAAATAATATTTCCTGTCTTCTGACTGACTGACTGAGTTTGGTTTTACGGCGCTTTTAGCAATATTCCAGCAACATCACGGCGAGGGACACCAGAAATGGGCTTCACACAATGTACCCATGTGGGGATTCGAACCCGGGTCTTCGGCGTGACGAGCCAACGCTTTAACCACTAGGCTACCCCACCGCCCCCTGTCTTCTGAACGCAAAGTGATGACAAAATATCGCTAAACAGTAACAACCATGCGTTGCTCCTAAAATTTCACGGCAGAGACGAATAGATAGTGTTTGAGAACAGTATCGAGATATATTTGAAACCAATCGTCCTAATGCAACTGAAAATTTGACGAAGGTTAGATGGACTGACCTCAGTTTGAACTACAATCTTTGATTAAAATATGCCACTCTGTAACCTCAAGAAAATCGCGGAGAGCTTGAAAAATGCTTCCTACGGGCAAACAATGTCACTTTTTACTTTTAACGTAATTACAAAAAGTTCAGAACAATCCGTTATTTAATTTGTAAAAAATGTTACATCGTTACAACTGAACATATTCCAGCGCAATTTACACGCATATTTCAAGACACTTTACTGTTTAACAAACAAAACCTTTGATCAAATTCGCAAGCACTGCTTAATGTAACGTTGCCCTAACTTCATTAGATTCAGTCAATGTAGACACTCAATACAAAAATTACATTAGTTAAACGACAAGCCAATTGACAGCAGACGCTAAGCTCGAGTTGCACGTGCCCCTAAAACATATTTGTGTCGGAACTCACGGGCATAAACAAGATCCTTATTGTGTTAGTGGGAGGCGAAGAAAAGGCAGAAAAATTAATTTAACCCTTGCGTTCCGAAGATGATATGTTGGCATGGAAATTACGCCCCTAGATGTTGCAATTTTGTGTACATTAAATCAACAACTACGACGTCAGTGTGACTTGCCTTGAATTTAAAGAAGGAGAAAATGTTCCTTTGAAAATGTAAAATATGTCAGATTCGTCTAAAGATTTTTAAGAGAATCGACACCGCTTGTTTCTTTGTTGACTGAAGTTGATGATATCTCATAATTGACACTTCTGAAATGTCGCAGTGTCAGTATCACACTCAGTGCAAGTCATTATAGAAAATGATTAGATTTTTCTATTCAACGATGTTGTCAATTTACTATATGTGATACTTCAATTTACTTCTTACAATATGGCTGACAACGCATTATGTCAATTTCTATAAAGCTGGAAGTTAAATAGTTTCCTTGATGGCTATTTTTTAATACCGATAATCGTTTTCAGACTTGGTAGACATTACAGTTTATATGATTTCTTGTTAAATTTTGTTCCTTGAATTAACATAAAGTAATGCTTTTTGAATGTTATGTAAAACCGCCATCTATGTTCCTCGTATTACATGTAAATGGGATAATAATATTTCACTTAGTGTTGTGATATCAGTTACAAATATAATTTTTTGCCATAACCTAAATAAAATTATGTTCAAACTTTTCATTTTAAAAATTAAATTTTAATTTCATAATATCTAAATTAAGACAGTCATCATATCGAATTGCTTCATTAAAATGAATCATGGGAAATTCACAGTTCAAAACATTTAAATCTAATAACATGCGATAGTATTACATTAATATGCAAAAAAGGACAAATGATCATCAAATGTGCGACAAACATTCACATATGCGGGGCGATCTAAAAGTTAAATTACAATCCCTTCAGGAATACGTCTCGATTTGATCAGTGACTCAGGCAGCGAGCCGAATCATTTCAATCTCTGACAAAGTCCAACTGTCACCCGTTTCCCGTGCACTACAGAGGGGAAAAGTCGCCAATTACATCTGAATTAACTTTTACTAACTTTTAAATAAGTAACACAACACCCATCCGTTCTTCCCAACATCGCCCCGAGCCAAATTTCAAACCGGGCGAACAGCAGCTAAACAATGCATGTTGTTTTCGCCTTTCCAGTCATTAAAAGCTAACCAGTTGACAATTCAGATGGTTCGTATTCAATGCTCTCAGTTCTGATACCTCAAGACAATGACTTCGCCAGGACCGTCTGTTCTATGAAATCTGGAGGCAAGCTACTCCTGGTGCCGAGACGAGCTGGGACACGGGTCGTGAACACAGAGCCTGCTAATCAAGACTTTAATTCTATTGGGTACCCTAAACGTAGTTAATTCCCTAAACAAATGATTTTATTCATTATCCTCTTGAATGGCTATTCTCTCTGAAGCTGCCCATGTAGATTTGTGGTCAGTAGAGGATACTAATTGCCTACCTGACCAGCTGTCGGCTCTCGGTAGCGTTCGTTCCACAATCTGCTCCCAGCCAAGTTTTAGAGACAACCGGATTAGTCTAGGATGAGTCGGCCATCCTGTCTTAATCTTACGTTTGCGGGACGGTGTTGATTTCGTCTGGGTTTGCAGTAATCAATTTGACTTGATTAGAAACTGATTTCTGGCTTGGCACAGTGGGTAATTTTCGGTTCTTGTCTGTTAACCATCTAAGCAGTATGTGGAATTGATAATAAATTCTTTGACTTTGATTTAGATTTGGAATGACATGAACCTTTAATTGCCCACCTAATCAATATCACCAAACAATTTCTGTTGACGTGGTTCCTTGGAAGTCGATAGAAACAGTACTATTGACGCATTTTTCCGAAAATTGTTAACAACACTTATTCGATGAATGTGTGCAGAGAATACTGATAGAAGCTGTACGTGATATACATGATTTAACCCATGTATTTTTTATATTATTCTTATCCATATGTTAATTAACATCTTCATAGTTTTATCACACACAACTGTTTACATTGTTTACAATGATTATTGAAAGGAAAATAAATATGTGCATCAATTATCGGTATGTTTTGTATGTATTGAAATCAAGTGCCATAAAGTTATGTAAAAAACACCATTGTCATGAAAAGGCATAATCCTCTCAAAGAGTAACAGAATAAAACATTTCTCAGTTTAACTTACAACTATCGTTATTCCCATATAAGACGACCAGCACGGTTGAGCAATAAACCTCAAGATCATATATGCACATGCACTAAACTGCACAAAACTGTGTTAAATCTAGATCAGTGTGATCTTGTTACGCCAATAACTTTCAAAAACAGCAACAATCCTCATGTTGATATATGCACATGCTAAACATCACGTTTACCCTAGATATACAAACCCGAAGCCTTGACAAACTCATAAATTCTTCCAAGCAAATAAATCACAAAAAGTCAAATTTCATGTGAATATCCTCTGTACTTCTGACGTACCAAATCGCTGAGATCCCACAAGGTTATAATGCTTTCCTTCATTTCAGGAATGGAAATTTGCAATTTGATTACGTGTACGCCCCCTGCGTGGCTTGTCTGCTGGCGTGAGAAGCAACATGAACCGTTGTTACAATTGCATGTCATTTTCAGTCTGCAGCGTCAGTAATCACTCGCACATCATTAGGTTCTGCGCATTGTCTTGGGACAATTAGATCAGCTTGAGGCACATTACAGCTTGATGGCAGTATGGCATATGATATGAACTTTTCCATCTGCGAGATGATGCTACGGCAACAGGACTGGACAGAAAACAGACACCCAATTTGACGGCTGACACCTATATGAGCGAACAGATCATTGGTGGGTTATAACATCACTTGGTCGGAGAGATGGCATGTTGCGATATTGGTTGTGATTCCATTCTGTTGGTACGTTGTTAATATATATGCATGAACTCTAAACCTCCAGGACTCTAGAACATATGTGACGATATATAGTTCGAGATAAGCGGGTAATGTGGCGATATACACATTTTGATATGTGCAGATTACACCGTGTACGGACGAACTAGACGCCTCGTCATACAGGTAGGTATCGATAACTCGAAATCCTCTGGATCATTGAAACATATGTCGAGTTATGTATAGTTCGAGACAATCGATGTCCGTCATACATACTAAAACGTGTATATGGTATTGCA